GGACTACAGGCATGCGCCACCATGCCCGGCTCATTTTTTCTATATATATTAGTTGGCCAATTAATTTCTTCCTATTTTTAGTAGAGACGGGGTCTCGTTCTTGCTCAGGCTGGTTTCGAACTCCAGACCTGGAGCGATCCGCCCGCCTCGGCCTCCCAGAGTGCTGGAATGACAGGCGGGAGCCACCGCGCCCGGCCTACTGTGCAAACTTCTTATCTTCAATGTGCCAAGTGCAGGTAAAGCTGTTCAGAAGCACCGTGCACCATTCGAATACGAGGGGTGGCCCTTCTATCTGCCGTGTATAACTGGAGCAAGACGACATTAACATTGGCCAAGAAACGTGAGTTGGACTTTCTGTTTAAAGAATGGAGTATCTGTAGTTGAACCTTAAGTTAATATTTATGGCAGCACAATGAAGTAGACACTACCATTCGTCCTGTTGTGCAAATGCAGGAACTGAGACTCGGAAGAATTAAATGGGGGACCCGGTGTCATCCCAGCCACTACCTAGGAAGACCCCTGAGGCTGGGCTTGGTAGAGGCATTGCTGTGGTCACGTGAGCATCGTGCCCTATTTCCCTCCCAGCAGGCAAGCTCCAGCTGCCCAGAGACTGGCTGGACGGGAGGCCCTTCACGCCGTCTGCCTGCCCTTGAGAAAGTCAAACCGCCCCATTCTCGATATTTTTCAGGATCAATCCAGCCCGCGTGACCCCCTTTCCCCCATTCTTGGCACCCGGACTGTCCTGTTCTGTGACGGGGCCAGCTAAATGCCCTTCGTCAATGTCCCCCAAAAAAACACAGCCGGAGGGGGGTGGGGATTCGCCTTACCATACTCATTTGCGAATTCGGGGCTTTAGTTTCCCCACTCAGATGAAATTGGGATTTAGACATTTCTGTCCCTTCGTGTTTAACACGTCGCTATGGTGCTGGCCAGGAAGCCTGGTCCTGTGTTCCAAGTGACACCCTGGCTACCCCGGGCCCAGCTATTTATGGGGTTTCCATTACGGACGGAGCTCTTGACTGGCAAAGCCTGTGGCCCATAAATTCACAGGCTTTCCTGTGGCCGGACGAGCCCTTTGCAATATTAGCTCGTCTTTAAGACCGTTAGTCACTTTCTTGTTTAAATTGCGTGGAAACGCGTGTGACGTAAGGTTAATCATTCTGAAAGCTGCGGTTGGGGGGTATTTCGTGCACTCACCGCGCTGTGCAAACGCCACCTCTGCCTGCTTCCTGACACCCCCGTCACCCCCGAAAGGAAACCGGGTGCCCGTTGGCAGTCACCCCCGTCCTCCTCCCTCAGCCCCTGGCCGCCACCAGCCCACTCTCCGCCTCGGTGGCTGCGCCTGCTCCAGGCCTTCCGTGTAGGCGGACTCGGACACCTGCGGCCTTCTGTGTCTGGCCCTGTCCTCACTTCTGAGGTCCACCCGTGTCACGCCACGGACCAGAGCGTCCTCCCTGTCTGCGGTGGGATGATGTTCTGTTGTGGGGCGTGCCGCGATTCTGTGATCCGCTCAGTCGTTGGGGGGCGTTTGAGCTGTTTCCACGGAGAGATCACGTCTGAGCAGAGAGACCAGAGCCAGCCCTGGGCCCCGGAGCTGCGGGCCGGGCGGAATCCGGAATCCGGTTCCGGCAGAGGAGCTGAGAGAGCCGGTCCCGCCCTCCCCACGGCCCGGACCTGAGGGCAGAGGAAGGGAGTTTCCCGAGAGGCGTCTGGGGCGCGGGAGCTGGCAGGCCCCCACCCTCGGAACAGCTCTCGGCCTCGGGAGCCGCCGCGGGATCCAGGCCTGCCCTGGGGTGACCGGCTTGTCTCTGCTCCAGGGTTCGTCCCAGTCCAGGCACGAGCGGCTCGTCCAGGGTGGGGCTGCCAGGCCCCACGCCCACGGCTCGCACCTATCCGAGGGACTGGAGCCGCTGCGGCGGTGGGTGGGGGCCGCCCAGGGGACCGCGTGCCCTGCTGACCTGCATTTGTGACGAGAGGTTGCAGGTCGGCCGGGGCTGTCTGCGTCAGGGTTTGACCTCACGCGGCCCTGCGACGTCTTACCCGGCATGGGAGTGCCCCGAGAGTGTGCCAGGCAGGAGGCCCGCGCCCTGCTCCTGGCCTTTCCGGCCCCGGTGGCTGCAGAGGGAATGGGGCCTCCCGCCCAGCACACGGGTGGCCCAGGTCACGGAGTCAGGTGGGCCGGGGCAGCGAGCCGGGTCTGGCCAGGGGACGGGGGACAGGACAGAGGAATTTGCCCTCAGCTTCTGGGCCTCTGTGGAGGAGAGAGAGCTGCTGGGCAGGCCTGCAGCTGCACACGAGAGTGTGTGCGTGTGCATGGGTGTGCTGTGTGCGAGCATGTGTGTGCTTGTGCATGGGCGTGGTGTGTGCACGTGTGTGCAAGCATGTGTGTGCATGTGCATGGGCGTGGTGTGTGCACGTGTGTGAGCATGTGTGTGGGTGTGCATGGGCGTGGTGTGTGCATGTGTGTGCGAGCATGTGTGTGCATGTGCATGGGCGTGGTGTGTGCACGTGTGTGTGAGCATGTGTGTGCTTGTGCATGGGCGTGGTGTGTGCATGTGTGTGCGAGCATGTGCGTGCATGTGCATGGGCGTGGTGTGTGCATGTGTGTGAGCATGTGTGTGGGTGTGCATGGGCGTGGTGTGTGCATGCGCATGGGCGTGGTGTGTGCATGTGTGTGCGAGCATGTGTGTGGGTGTGCATGGGCGTGGTGTGTGCATGCATGTGTGTGCGTGTTAAGCGTGGGAGAGGATCCGAGTGTGTGATTGCCTGAGGGCGTGTGAGAGACCGTGTGTGGATGTCAGGGGTGCAGTCTCAGACACGCGGCCTGCCGTGGCCAGCAGACTCTTACAACCACGGTGACCCCCCCCTCCATCTGGGCCCGCAGTGGGGACCTGGCGCTGAGCTCCGTGACGCCGTGTGACCGCACGCCGGAGTTTCCGGGTGTGTCACTGTGACTCCGTAAGACGCCGTGGAAACAGCAACCACAGCCAGGCAGCAAGTAACCCCGAGCAGACGCGCAGTGTCCAGGAAAGGAACTGTTCCTTATTAAGTGCCTACTGTGTGCCAAGCACCGTGCGTTTGCAGATACACCTGCTCTCGCCAGTCTGCAACCCCGGAGCCAGGCGGCCTCACCGTCCTCACCTTACAGATGAAGGCTCGGGGCCGGCTGGCATCTCGCCCAGCTCACGTCTGGCAGAGAAGGCCCTTCCGGAGCCGGGAAGCAACCGAAGGCCCCAGGAAAGGGCCGGAAAGGCCAAAACCCGCAACCCAACGCCGGCCCCGCAAAACCAACAAAAAAAGGGGGGGACGGGGGGGCCCATCCAGTGAGGCCAAGGCTTTGGGGTTCCACCTGCAGCCCACTCTGGGCACCCCCTGCCTGCACTTCCAAACCCCAGCCCCGAACCCCCCCCCCCAGCCAACGGCCCGGCAAGTTCCGTCTTGTGACTGCTGGGTGAGAACGAGAAAGGGAGTTCCTCAGAGACCCGGGATTCCTTTCATCCCTCCGGCGCCCCTTAATTGCGCAGGGTGGGGGTGAGTTCAGCCTTCCTGCGTCCGTCCGGGGGCGATTGCTCTCACGTGCTCCAGCCCGGCCAGAAATGAGACTTCGGCTTTTGCCAAAACTTGTTGTGCGCACCGCCAGGGACGAGGCGTCCGGAAATTTCGTGATGAAGAAACTTTTGAAAATAATTTTAAAAAATCAAAGGGAAGTGTGGGGAGACAGGGCCAGGGGATTTTCCTCAGGTCCCTCCCTCCCCGGGGGCTGCCCTCACACCAGCCTGCCCTGCCATCTTCTCGCCGGCTCTGCCCGGGGTGGGGCGGCGTCTAGAGAAAGCCGAGCCGGAGGAGGGAAAGTGAGAGGCAGGGGGCGGCTGGGCAGGGGTCCTCGCTGGGCCCCAACCCGGGCGTGGGCGTGCTGCAGGGATCGGGGAGCTCTTAGGACAGAGGGGGCCCGTTTGCAGAGCCCAGCTGTGGTGTCTGCCTCTCATCGCAGCGGGCCGGGGCCCCCCAGCCCAGAGCTGCCCAGCGCTGCGGTCAGGGCCGGACAGGGGCTCTGTCTGCCTGGGCCTCCAGCGGCTACTGTGACAAGCCACCACCAACGTGGTGGCTCAAACCGGCGTGGATTCGTTCTCCTGCATCCTCGGAGGCCAGAAATCTGAGATGGGTTCTCTGGGTTCCTTCTGGGGGCTGCGGGAGGACGTTTCTCTGCCTCTCGTAGTTTCTGGAGGCCGCCTGCCTTCCTGGGCGCGAGTCCCCTTCCTGGAATCACTCTGACCTCCTGGCTGCTCCTCTGACTCCCCCCGCCACCTGCCTCCCAGAAGGACCCTGGTGATCACGTTATCGGGGTCACCTCCCTATCTCAACCTCCTCAACCTAATCTCAGCGGCAAAGCCCCTTTGGCCATGTGAAGTGACAGGCACACAGCTTCTGGGGATCAGGATCCTTTGGGGGGGGCTGTCAGGACAGGGTGCCTCCTTCTCTGCTCACCCTGGATTTCGGGGGCCGGCCTGCATGTCCAGGCCTGGGGTGACACACCTGGGAGGCTGGAGCCCTACCCCCTCTTCCCCGGTCCCAGGGCTGACGTGGAGCCACGAGGTCCAGGCTGTCTTGGGGGCTGGCATTCCCCACGAGGGAATAATCCCGGCAAATGCTTTTCATTAAGGAGCCCGCAAGAAACAATATCGGCCTAACAAGAGGATTAGGCGTTCTCAGTGTAAACAAGCTCACTGCGGAGGTAAGAGACCCTGGCTCTAATTGAAGCTGCCCGGAAAACAGCGGTTTTCTTAAGGGAAAAAAAAAATACAAGCAAACAAACCCCCCTCTAGGTTTCCAAAGGTGGGGGGCGGGCAGGACCCCAGCTCCACTGCACCTTGCAGGGGCCCAGTGGTCCCGTTCCTGGGAATCCCCCCTCCGCCCACCAGGCTCTCTGCCCTGCGGCAAACCCTCCCCCAGACCTTCTAGAACATTCTCCGTAGTCATGGCGACCAGGCTGGCCTGCTGCAGTGGTTCAGAGCCCCCACCCTCCTCCTCAGCCTCTTCCTTCCCCACCCCCACGCCCAGCCTCTGTCTAGAGGAGGCCTCACCCCTGCGGAGGCTGTGCCGGCCCCTCTCCGACCAGCCCCTGCCCTCAGCCGCTTTCCACAGCGACTCTCACAGTCGTCTGGGGAACAGCCTGGTGACACCCGGGCCCTGACACCTGGGGGTGGCACTCCAACAATTCAATCTCCACATTGTGAGCAGCCGACCACCGTCCTCGCACCCCACGTAGGCACCGTACGTTCCTGAGGAAGTGCCACGTTTCTCTGCAGAAACCCTCACGTTCTGGGTCGGCCAGAACGATTCCATTCTCATGCATTTTGAGTGCAGAGAGGTAAGATACACTACAGTTCTGAACCCGCTCGCTGGCCCCGGGGCATTGGTGCCTTCCAGGGGCTTCGCAGACCCTGGCCTGACCACCCGTCCCCTCGTTGGCCCTGAGAGCTCAGAGCCCACCCCGGGTGGGGAGCAGCCGGCCGGAGCCAGGGCAAGGCGGCCCCACCGGCCCAGGGTCTGCCCGGCACTGTGGGCGGGCGGGTGGCGAGCTGGGCTCCTCCGGCCCCTCTGAGAAGCACATGCTTCTCGTCACTCTGGCCTCACCTTGCAGCTCCTGAGAAGGCCGGCGGGGCCGGTGAGCGGAGAGAGGGCTCCGGCCACCCTGGCCGGCTCTTTGAGGGAGCCCAAGGTCCCAGGGCACTACCCGCCTGCACCATCGCCCGGCTGTGGGTGGGCTGCGGCCGGTCGGTGGTGCTTATGCGATTTCTAACCTAGTCTTCGGTGTCCACGGAGCCAGCGTGGACATGTGGTCCTGGAGCCTGGACTTAGGACCCGCAGCCCGTCGGAGCTGGGCTCCCTGGCTGCATGGAGACCCCGTGAACCCCTGAGAAGCATTTGATAAGATAACATCGTCCTTCTTTTGGGGGGCGCTCTCCATTGCATAGCGGCTTGTCTCCAGGGACTTTGGGGAGGGGGCCGGCAGGATCTGCCAGGCGGGGCTCTGAGTGGTGACAACACAAGGCCCTGTCCAGGGACCTTCCCGCCCAGTATGTCCAATCCTCTCTCTGTCCCCAGCCAGACCTGCAGAAATGGGCGTTCTCGGAGCCCCGGACGGGGATCCCACAGCGTCCCCTGTCTAAGGAGACATCGTGCTGGGGGCGGCTCGCTCAGACCTGGCTCAATGAATATTAGCTGTGATGATGATGACGATAACCGTGATTATGCGCTGTCGGGTTAGTTGCCTAAAGCTCATTTATGGAGCAGGAAGAATTCAAGAGACTTTGTCGCAGGAAGTTAAAAAATTCCCTTGGAATGGATAAAAGACTTAACTGTAAGGCACGAAACCGTAAGAATTCTAGGAGAAAATGTACGAAAAACTCTTGTAGATATGGACCTAGGCAAAGAATTGATGAAGAGACCCTCTAACGGCAATCACAGCAGCAATAAAAATAAACAAATGGGACTTGATTAAATTAAAAACCGTCCGCACAGCCAAGGAAATAATCAACAGAGCAAACAGGCAACCTACAGAATGGGAGAAAATATTCACAAGCTACACGTTCGATAAGGGGCTGAAAATCAGAAATCTGCAAAGAACTCAAGCCAACCAGCAAGAAAGAAACAAACGACCCCATTAAAAAGTGGACAAGAGATGTGAACAGAAGCTTCTCAAAAGAAGACAGATGACGAATGAACATATGAAAAAAAATGCTCAGTGTCACCGATCACCAAGGAAATGCAAATTGAAACCACCATGAGATGCCACCTTACCCCTCTTAGAATGGCTTTTATTAAAAATTCCCAAAACAGTAGTTGCTGGGTGTGAGTATATACTTTGTGATTTGTTCAGGCACTACGGGGGATCGGACGGTGCCGGCCTACCTTGGTGGGAACAGTCTCCCCGATTCGGCCAATTCACATGCTAATCTTTCCCAGAAACCTCTCTCAGACACACCCAGAAATAATGTTTAGCCAGCTACCTGGGAGTCCCTTAGGATACCTACTCATGAATACATACACATCTGGTGCATCTTTCCTGCTCAGATGGTAACATTGTTTCCACGGCTCTGCACTTTGCTTCCTTCTCCTTGCAGACTGTTCCTTACTCTCCTTCTTAATGCCCGAGTCCCATCACGCTAGGTGGACCCACTAGTTCCCGCTGTGACGGGGCTGGCCACGCAGTTGCTTCCGGCTCTTGCGCTGGGATCGCACCACGGCGGATGTATGTCTATCGTTCCTACGTGGGCAAGTCTGTCTGAGACAGGCTCCCGTTTCGACAGCAAGCGGCAGGTGTGTTTTTGACAGTCACCACCTGGCTGCCCTCCCTTAGGTCGTACCAGCGTGACCAGCAGAAAAGCGTGAGAACTGCAATGCCCGGGCACGGGGGGGGGGGGGGGGGGGGGGGGGGGGGGGGGGGGGCAAGGTGCTGGGAAACCCACGGCAGAGGGAACAGTAGACAAGGAGGTTTGCAGGTAGACGTTAAAGGAGGACTGCTGACTCTTCTTCCCTCTTGGTGACGTTACCTGTGATTCAAGAAAAGCAGTTCTGCTTCCCCTGGAGCGAGGGGGGCGTGCCCAGGGCTTTCCCCACCTGTCGGAAGTCTCCGGAAGGATGACTTTTAACACCTTCAGGAACTGCCCGAGTATAAATAACAGCCGCTCACAGCGGTCCTGACCCCGGAAAGGGACAGAGAGGAGATTTTCCAATGCCATAGTTATGGGCACAGCTCTTGTGCTACCAGAAAAAAAAAAAAAAAAATATATATATATATATATAGGTTTGTATTTCCAAAGGAAATGCCACCGTACCTGGAATTCATGTCACACTAACAGGGGAATTGAGGACGAGTGAGAGGGGCAGCAACCACAGAGGCTTGTCCAGGTTTGGCGATCGCCGGAGCCGTACGTTGGATGTACCAGGATTCGTGGTCTTCTCCCTCCTTGGGCGTAAATTTCAAATTTCCCGTAGGAAAAGGTCTTGATAAATGTTCCTGGCTAAGATACAGAGATGATTAAATGTCCCTCGATTCCTTCACCTATTTTATAAAACCGTCTCGGCCGCAGCTGCAAATTTCAAGCCCCCGTCCGTGTTAAACGGAGTTGAAAGCAGCTCTCACAGGCAGCGGCGCCACCCCCTCCCTCATTTGCAGGGAACGCCCCCTTTTTCATCTCCCAGAGACAGGGATCCCTCAGAAACCCTCCCGACAGCACCCAGATGCCTCGAATCGGCTGCGAAACATTTCAAGGCCTCGGCGTCATTTAATGCCCTATGAAAGTAAAATAAATTGTGTACAAATAATTCAATAAGCTCAGGGAAGTGGGGGGAAAAAAAAACATTAAGCATGTCACAGATGGCACCTCCAGGCAGTTTATCAAAGCGAGTTTCATAATTTAACAAAATCATCTTGGCATCCCACACAAAGGCCTTCCCGTTTGATCCCTTAATAAACGCTGCTTAGCGCTTTCTGGGGAAACGGCTCCCAGCGCCGGAGCTGTTTCCCGGCATTAGCTAATCAATCATCAAAAGGTATTTTCCACGCAGGCGGGCAGGCAGGCTCGGGACCCTCGCTTTGACCACCACGGAAGAGGCCATGGAAGCCGGGAAGCTTCTCCAAGGTCACCCGTGGGGCAAAGGTCTCAGCTGGGGTCCCGGCTAATGAGTCTCCGGTTCCTTCCGCGCCTCCTCCTCCTCCTTCCCGCCCACCACGTGGCTGCACCCAGGAATGCCGCCGGCGCCCCCCACCCTCCCCGCCACTCTGAGCTCAGGACAGAATCGGTCCTCGGTCCCGGACACCCATGTGCTTAACCAAAACACAGCCAAGGAGTCGCCTTAGCCTCCCTGCCCCGGCCCTGGAAGGGGGCCGGGTTTATTTTCTTTTCTGCAGGACGGAGAGCTTTGCCTTTGGCCGAGGGTCAAGGAATCCCACCCCTGACTTTTGTGCAGTGACATTGCCTTTGTTTCTGTTCTTGTTTTGTTTGAGGAGCTATGTTTCTGAATCGCAGACGTTACGATGTGCGTGGGTTTGAGAAGGCCAGGACTACAGAAGGGGCTACAGGTAGAAGGGGAATGGCACCTGGCACAGGCCGCGTCCCCCTCCGGAAGGCGGAGCTCCACCCACTCGCCCTTCCCTGCTCCCCGCCCCTCCCCCTCGACCTGGGGGCAGTGGGACTTGGTGACTCAGGCTGGCTTCCACAGAACAGCGCAGGGAAGGGCTAAAGCAGGGACCCGAGGAGGAGGCTCCTGGCGGAGCCCACCTGAGCCAGGCAGCCAAGGTGCACACCATGCACCCCAACATGCGTGACGTGACGTGAAGTGGGGGGAGCGTGTCACCTTCACTGTTCTTCCCCCAAACCCAGGCTAATCATGAGCAAAACACCGGAGAAGCCCACATTGAGGGATGTTCCACAGCGCTCCGGACCAGCTCTCCTCCAAACTGTCACAAAGGCTCGTGGGAAACCAGGAGAGGACCGAGAGGTGGCCGCAGAGGAAGACAGCCCCGGGGTAGGGGGGGTAACAGGGCGGCCTGTGGGGCACAGCTCCGGGTGGGCCCTGGGACGGGAAGACCCTCGTGGGAAAACTGGGAGATGGGATGAAGTTAGAAGCGTGGACGCCAGCCACGTGCCGAGGTTGGCTTTTCGGCTTTGATAAATTTACATGGTAACGTGAGACGGTGACATTTGGGGACAAAGACACCGGAGCAGGGGGGGTGTACTGAAACATCCCGTCTTATCTTCTCTTTCTTTCACAAACTTTATTTTTTAGGGCAGTTTTGTGTTCACAGCCCTCTCTATACTATCTTTACTAACTTCCTATACATCTAACATTATTCCAAATATATATATATATATATTTTTTTTTTAATTTAAAGGTAAAAATCTCCCCTCCATCTCACCCCCTGCCTCCCTTGGCAGAGATCATCACTGCCAACAATTTCTGGAATGTTCCACCAGAATTCTGTGATTCATTTACATGTTTTTTTTTTTTTTTTCCCCTTTTCGTTTTTAAACCACGGCCGGACCCTACAATGTATGTTTCTGGTTTCTTGCCTTTTTCGTTTAATCTATACCCGGGAGACACTTTCCTGGGGTGCCTCATTCTTTCTCGGCGACTTTGACGTCACCCACGGTTAGCTGTGTCCCCGTAATTTATTTCAACAGATCCTGATGGGTTGACAGGCTGGTTTTGAGTTTTGTTTGTTTGTTTTTCAACTGTTATAACAAAACAACAGCAGCAGGTGTATCACCGAAGTCAACAGACACAAGAAGCTTAGCTTGTAATTAGCTTCGCTCACGGTTTTAAAAGTCCGGGCGAAGATGACGGCGACGCACCGTTTTTGATCTCTTGGACGGGCAAGACTGGGAAGTTTAACTGTGGCCGTGGTCTGGTGAAAAGTGCAGGAAGTGGCCTCTCCCATTCCCGGCTGGGGCGGCGGAGGGGAGGGTGCCACGCTGGTGCAGACGGCGTGAGAGCAATTTTGGCAGCATTTGCACACACCTCACGGGTGCGTGGAAGTAACCTCCGTGTTTGGTGGCTTTGGCTACACAGGTGTGCTCACCTTGAGAACATTCTTTGAGCGGCACACTCGTGACCTCTCCGCTTCTCTGTATGTTGCACTTTAATAGAAAGTTAAAGAAGAGCAAAGGCGTCTAGATTTGAGCAGGCTACCCACCCTTCCTTCCAAGAAATACCTGGAATGCAAGACTTGGGAGCTACAGAAATGGTCCTCCCCCGGCTGAATTATATTGTCGGTACCCACAGAAATTGTACATGTATTCTTTAAGAAATCCGTGACTAAATTTAGGAATTTCTTAGTAATACGGTGTTATACTTGTTCAGTTAAAAAAATTAAACAAAATCATGCCTTTACCTAAATTTCTGCAAGTGGGCTAACCAGATACACTGCATAATAATTGAGATTCCTGTTTTTTTCTTCCCCCTTCTTATTTGCAAAGACTTGAAAAAAAAAAAAAAACCCTCCTAGAATTTAAATGATTAGAGATTAGTTTGGGGAAAAAGAGAAGAGTGATGAAGTTAATCTAGTTATTGAGTTAACCTGCTAACCTGTGATCTCTTCTATGGGAAAAATACTGTCTTGATTTCTTCTTTTTTTGTTGTTTTTAAACTCTTTTTTTTAAATTTCAAAATATTACAGGAGTATCAATATTTTCGGTTACATGTAACAATTTTGTTATGCTTGAGTCAGGGTTATAAATGTGCCCCTTACCCAGGTAGCATTCATTGTCTTTTTGTAAACTCTTAGCTCCACTTTTGGCATGGATAGGTTTCCAATCTTGTCGATTTGTCTCCTTAGCGTCCTCTCTACGTGATGACATCCAAACCCATCACTGTCACCCCCTTATATGTTCTGCTGGCCTCCACATCTCTATCTAAAGCCCAGAGCTTTCTCCAGAGCTTCCAACTGTCATCGTCATCTGCCCAGTGCAAATCTCCATTGGAGGCGCTGTGGCTCTGCTCAGTCTCACCTCACACAACATTGAAGAAATTTTTATTGTCCGTTCAAGTCTTCTTATTGTCCTCTGTTCCATATCTTTATTTATTTATTTATTTTTGGTCTTGATTTCTTGGTTACTAAATGCTTATAGCAAATAAATCAGGCAATGAAAATTTTCAAAAACCAAATCAATCAAAGACGCTACATTTCCCAAAACCAAGCTGAGCCTCTGGAGAGAGCAGGCCCCGGCGTCTGGAAGGAGCTCTCCGTGAGCAGCCTGGCGTCGGGGTGAGTCATTTGCGGCCTTAAGACTGTAGGAAGCCAATGAGGAGTTCTCCCTCCTGGTGGAAACTGGTGAGGGACCTGCCTGGAATCGCAGGGAGACATTCGGGCGGCGGCTCTTCCCCGGCAGCCGGTAACCACGGCATGTTTGTGAAACCCCCTGGGCGTTCCCCAGCACGGCCTCGGTGGTCCTCGGTCCCAGCATCCAGGTGGAGAGAAGACACGGGCCTCCTCCGAGTGGGCCTCTCTCTTCCGCCCCCACCCCGACCTTTATTCCGGCTGCTCTTTGATAGAGCCAAACCCCCTCTGATCACCCCGCTTCCTCCTCTCGCTGCCTCGAGTCACTCGAGCCTTCTGCATTATTAATAAAAAGTTTCGGGTTCGGTTACTTTGCTCTGGAATATGAAAGCTTCTCTTTGGGGGGTACTTTGAGTCGGGCTGGATGCAAACTCTCCATTAAGGCACTTAGAGATGATCGTCTCCCTTTGACTATCAGGAGAGCAAGACCGCCCATGGAATCCGGAATTGTATTTGCACTAAAAGAAAAAAAAAAAAAAAAAACGCCTCCGCGGGCACCCCTACAGAGCCCTCCATTGCGGTGCGGGATAATTAAAAGTTTACTTTCCTCCCACGGTTGCCATGGGAACGGTGTTTGGTGGCAAGTCTGAAAAAAATCCGCGCAGGCCCGTGGGGATGTCTCAGGAGGCAGCTGGGAAATGAGCGGGAAGGTGTTTCTGGGAACCTGTGTGGTTTGACGGGGGTGGGGGTGGGGGCCTTGCAGGTGGGGAGCGGGGGAGGGGATGGTCGTCCAAACAGCTTCCTCAACTCGGATGACTTTGCCTAAGGGCCGTCGGGAAAGGTCTCCACATCCCGAGCGGAATTCTAGCGGGATGAGGACGGCTCCCATATGGAATCATTCTCATGCGCAGCATTTCCTTGGGAAACTGACTTTTCTTCCTCATTCTATTGCAACGGGAGTGCCCAGACACAAGCAGGTTGGGGGCCAGTGACTGCTCCGTGATTCAGCCTGGCCAGGCAGATTCCGGCCAGTGATGCTCAGCCAACAGTCCCAGAACAGCACGGTCCCGGTTTGGCTCTCCTCTTCCACCTTCTCTGCAAAGCCTCGCTGAAATGCTCCGGCTCCCACCGATGTCTCCTGTCACCCGAGACCGCAATGGCAGCCTCCACTTCTCCCCCCTCCCCTGCTGGGGCCTGGTCAGCGTTTTCAAAGGTCCGTCAGGGACTCTCGATTCTGATATATTCTTTAAGAGCGCGGCTCTTGGAGCCAGCGTGCCAGCTCGGCCCTTTCTGGCTGCGGTAACGAGCACCACCACGCACTGCCCGGCCCGTACATCAGCCGCAGAGGCCTGTCCCTCACCGCCCTGGGGCTGGACGTTGGAGGTCCGGGTGGGGTTCCAGCGAGGCTGTCTTCTGGGTGGCAGACCGTGGCTTCTCGCCGGGCCCTCACGTGGCGGAAGGGCCGAGGGAGCACCGTGAGGTCCCCTTGATACGGGCACCAATCCCATCCACAAGCGCTCCGCCCGCATGACCCGACGGCCGGCCTCCTGGCACCACCGCTGTGGGGCCGAGGATGCACCGTGTGCACGGCGGGGCCCAGGCCTTCCGCCCCGGGCACCTGGTTTGCGTTCGCTCCACTCAACCAGAGGCCCCTCCGCCCCCAGCGCCCCCAGCAGAGCGAGAGGCGCCGGTTTCTCTAGAGAACCGTGAACACAGACGTTCGTCAGATCTGCAGGCCCTGGAAGCCGTTCTAGATGTGCATGTCCACCAAATAAGGTCTAGGGGTTTCGGGAATCACAAGCCACCTTCTTCCCTTCTACCTGAAACCCGCACCCGGGCCCTGACGTTTCTCAGGTTCCTCGCTCCATCCCACGGGGCAGAACCGGCTGCCGGCAAGGCACCGCCGCCATCCCGGGCACTTGGTTTTCCTGTCGAGATTGTCCCCTTTGCAAATGCGCTCCGGCCACCAGGCAAGGGCTGCCCCAGACACGCCTTTCCCGTGCTGATCGCCCCGGGGACCTTCCCTGTCCTGCGTCCCAGCGTTCACTGTCCTCCGGCACGCAGGGCGCCCGGCTCCGAGGCCCCGCCCTGCGCCCCACGAGGTCAGCTCCTGCCTCTCCTGGACTGAACCCGCAGGGAGTCCCAGGTGAGGGCTCTGAGCCTCTGAAGGAGCTTCTCCCCCGCCCCGTCTCAAGCTGAAGATGGGCCAAGGCGCTGCAAACGGACGTCTCAGGCTATAGCTCAGCTGTGCAGCCGGGACCAGGGCCCTCACCTCTCTGAGCTGCAAGATCCCCCCACTGCAAACGGCGTCTCAGGCTATAGCTCCAGCTGTGCAGCCGGGACCAGGCCCCTCACCTCTCTGAGCTGCAAGATCCCCCCACTGCAAGCGGGATTCTCACCCCTTCCTCGCAGGGTTATCGAGGGGTCAGCGAGGCAAAGCGCTTGGAGAGTCTGGCGCGGGACGGGCACTCGGGAGTGTCAGCTGGCTGGGGCCAATTCTTAGCCGAAGTCTAAGTCCTCCTCCTGCCGGGGCAGAGCCTCGCTGGGCATCCGAAGACTATTTAGGGCCTCCCTGGTAGACGTGGACAGCGGCTTTGGAAGCGCCAATGTGCAGCCGACAAGCCCAGTGGGAGCCGGGGCCCCGGCTGAGCCGGAAGTGCTTTCCTTCCGGGAGGGGGCAAGGAGGTTCCACCTCCGCCCGCCCAGGTGACCTGCGCCCGGAGCACCCCTGTTTCCCACGGGGGCCAGAAGCCCCCGCCCAGATCAAAGCTGGAGGAGGCAGGTGTGAGTAACTAACGGGGAGAAGGAAGGGGAGAAGGAAGCCGTTGAGTTGAAAGACAAGGTGTTAAATGGCACCGGGAGGCTTGATTTCCCTTTTCTTTCCGGTGGGGCTCTTGCGTGGAGGAAGTCAGAACAATAGCATTCACTGCGGGGTCGGACTCTTGGTTTGTGATTGACAAAGCAAGCCCCTCTCTGCAAGGTCCCGGTGTCCCTAACCCTAAGGCAGAATGAGGACAAGCTCTCTCTTTCCCTCAAACACGTGCACACACACACGCGCACACACGCACACGCACACATGTACACACGCACACATGCACATATACACACACACGCACCCACATACGCACACACAGGCGCGCACACATGCACACATGCACACGCACACATGCACACACATGCACACACACGCGCACACACACGCACATGCACACATGCACACACGCCTCGCCAGGGATTCCAAGGCTAATCTTGGGGGTGCACTCAACACTGTTTGGAAAACAAAACAGGGGAGCTTTAATTCCCGCCCCCACACCCCTAAAGTCCTAAATAAATCAGCGAGCGTTCAATTTAAACGCTCAGTAAACAAGGAGGGACCCCAACACCGGCCTCTGGGGGAGGAGTGATAACTCCGTGCGTCGAGCCGAGCGCTGGGTACTCAGGTGTGTCCACCGCGTGAAAACTCTGCAGGCCGCACACCTGTGCTCTTACAGGATAAAACGTTAGTAAAAGGTGCAATAAAAAGTCACGCACACACACACACACACGCGCGTGTGCGATTGGTGGCCGTGAGGTTCCGGGCTCTTTCCCCTGTGGCTGCGCTAAGGCGGGCGGGCGGCAGGCGTTTGGTGGCCGAAGTGCGAGATCGTGCGAGATCCCGCGGCCCGTCCGTTATCTTCAGCCGCCAGACCTCCGGCGGTCGGGTCCCTTCGCTGGATCCAGGGCGGAGACGAAATCCACCCCCGGAAGGCCGGCCGGGCGGCTGCGGCTCCCAGATAGCTTTCCCTTCTGCCTGCGGGCGGCGGGAACAGAGGTTGGGAAGTTTGCTTTGTGGGAGAGAGGCCAGCGGCCCCACTCGCAGCCTTTGATCTCCCCTCGGAAGGCCGTCCTCATCTGTCCCCGCGTCTCTGCCCTCGCTCGGGCACGAAAGACAAAGGGAGGAAGACCGGAGGAGGGCAGGAAACAGCCTCGGCCTTTGACAGTGATGCGCCCTCACCTCTCCGGGATCGGGGGGTCCGGCCAGCGCCCGCCCTCCGCGGGGAGGAAGGAAGCCAGGTGGTTTCTCCACCTCCAGCGAAAAATCGTGGTGGAAGGTTCGGGGCGCCGGGGCGGGGCGGGGTTGGGGAACCTTCCAGGCTTTTCCCGGGGGCCGGTGAAGAAGAGCAGAGGACAAGGAGAAGGCACCCAGCGGCCCCGCACTTTGCCGGGAGGCTGGGGTCCCGCAGGGCTGCCTGCATGCTTATTCGCACATACGTGTATGTCTCTGTACACACGGATAATATGTGTAAACCTGTTTTACAGAGGAGAACGCTCATGATGTGTGATGCGTAATCAGGAATGCGCAACAGACACACTACGAGATCAGACAGAGACCATACCGTTCTCCCATCCTCAGAGGGTTGTCATGAGAAAGGAATAAAATAAGTACGAAAATTCTTCTGCGTGTATAAACAGCAATGTGCTTTACTATCTGTTTCTTTTCCACTGGACTTTCCCAGGCTACCCATAAAAATTTCTCCAAAAGCAAAGGGAGGCAGCCAAGGCCTTTGTTTAAATACCCTTGTTCGCAGCAATGACAACCCACAGTTGATAAGTCCCTACTAGGTCACAGAAATCTCCCAAAAATCTTTGTGCTATTGTCCTTTCTCTTTACAGACCAGAAGGCGGATGCCCTGCGGCCGCCAGTGCCGTGCTTGGGGTCGGGTGGGGACGGGGCCAGGCGCCCTGTCCCCTGAGTGGGATGTCATTTGCCTGCAGGCTGGTGCAGGGACTGAACTCAGTGCCCCTGTCTTGTTTTGTTTTTATTTTGAGAGCTGGATGTTTAAAGAATGTTTTTTTTTTTATTTGAGACAGAGTCTTGCTCTGTTGTGCGGGCTAGAGTGAGTGCCGTGGCGTCAGCCTCGCTCACAGCAACCTCAATCTCCTGGGCTCAAGCGATCCTCCTGCCTCAGCCTCCCAAGTAGCTGGGACTACAGGCACGTGCCACCATGCCCAGCTAATTTTTTCTATATATTTTTAGTTGGCCAATTAATGTCTTTCTATTTTTAGTAGAGACGGGGTCTCGCTCTTGCTCAGGCTGGTCCGGAACTCCTGACCTGGAGCCATCCTCCCTCCTCGGTCTCCCGGAGCGCTGGGATGACAGGCGTGAGCCACCGCGCCCGGCCGAGAACGTCATTTCAAATGTCATTTTGGCTTTATAATCCCTTGGCTAGTCTTACTCATAAAAGAGGAGAGAGGGAAGAAAGCTCCACCGCCGTCAGCGTCCGAATGGCATTCACGGGCAGAACTTCGCGCCGGAACCCCGAGGTCTGCCCGGTCGGTCCGCGTCTCCGTGTGGGAATCTTTCTTCACGTCCACGTGA